CACGCAACTAGTACATCCTCAAGGCGCTAAAGTACTGTCGGAAATAGAAGAAAACAGTTTTTTCATACTTATCTCTACAATTTATGTAGTTGATATGTGAAAGTGTGGAATATCTGATAAACTAAGTTCGGCCTAACTGCAGTCACAGTGGGAGGGAGATAGGAAACGTAATAAAAGGACATTAGTGAGGAGAGATTAGTGCAGAATGAGCAATGAGGTTTTTTTTCTTTAGTCCAAAGCGACTTATTTGGAACAGACCATGGCTTTATGCACATTAGTGTTCAATGATATTGTATTTCAAAGGACACTTTTTTAAATGCCCATCTTGAAATTAGACTTAGCTTCATTATAAACGATAGCTGAAACTATTAAGGATGTAGCTACCATGGAGTCTCACTGTCACTATAAAAAGAAACAGATAGGAGGGGTCATCTCAAAAGTAAAACCAGGACGGGTGTCGCATACGATGGTTGGGGTCGGTCTGGGGGATAGAGATATCAGCTAAGATAAGATAATCCTTTAGGAGACTTATACTGGGGAAGTACACGGCATGTTATAACAATTTACAAATAATATCCAGTCCTGTCGGTCTTCAGGTGTTCATGCCACCCATATATTTTGAGATATTTAATACGATGCTTTTCTATGGTTATCAGGTGTCATACTCTTTCACATACTTTTCTAACATAAACTTTATGAAAGAAAGACACGTAAGATGTTAATCAATAGCTGAGACATATTCAACACACATGAAAAAGTACATATCTTTGAGATCAAAATATCTGTAGGCAGCACATACATATCATGCCAGGTGAGTCAAAGGTCCGCCATCATACCTTGCTGAGCGACCTTATTGCCATCTATAGTCTGATCTATTGTTTTCAGCAGCTTTTCGTATTTTTTCTAAGTTTTGCCCCGATTTTACGAGTAAACATGCTTTTCTGGATATCCTCTTACGCATCCCACTGAATGCCCAGTTAGGCCGAAGTGGGTTATTTCAACATATGCTATTTGCAGTTGTGTAACTTTTAGGGATACAAAGCAACAGCCTAAAAACAGTTTTTTTCTATTTCCGACTGTACTTTAGTATTTGTTCCCTCAATCATTGGATGTCAATCTCAACGGCACATCGTATTATCAATCTCAACTCCCCGGAGATCATACAACTCTTGCAGTCACTAGGCACACCAAATTATTGTGGCTTTCCAATCCTTACAAGGTACTCATTCCCAGCTGGGTGGACTGGGACACAGTCACAGTACTTTGTCCAAACTTGTTTATTGCACCCGCAACTAGGTGTTTGCACGTATTCATGTGGCCACCATCTGGTCATATACCAACAGGTTTGTGGGTTCTGTTAAGTGCACAGGGTTGTGTACTGTACACTAGGGGTTGTGACAACACTGAAAGAGTCTGCACACAAAGTAGACTCCAAGGTTTTTACACCTGGTCACAGGTGGGCACAAGCTCGCTGGATCACTAGTCTGGCTTCTTAGCCAGCTCGCCCATCATGCCCCATGAATTTAATTTTATAGCTATTGATGGTGCAATTAATTGAAATATTCGAAGATTGGTCACAGTGACTAAACGACCAAGCAATTGATCATGTTTTCTCATAATCGAACACAAACAATTTTGGAACACTTGTTTGCATTAACAATATTTCTCACAAGGTTGTTTTTTTTCATTTCATAAGCACCACATGCTCATTCCAGGTCATGATTGAATTTATCTTAAAGACTCCAGAAAATATATGTTCCTAACATACTAGTCATCCTTTAAAGATGTGAAATTTGCAAATGCATTTTGTGCAATTTGCAAAACAAACCTTTAAGAATTACATGAGGTTTTGTTTCATTATTTTGTTTTTGCGCATCAACAAACATTACAGGAAAATTTGATAAATGATGCTAACCAATTATTTCGATGATTGATCGGTTGTAATGAACCAATTAACAATTATGAGATTTTAATCATCTCCCAACACTAGCAATAGCATCTTACAATCTGTCAACAACGGACAGTAGAACACCTAGCATATAACAGTTTTGTTTTAAAACTAGTACTAGAGCACTTAACGTTTATTTAATACTACAAAATAAAGGCACCAAATATAGGACCATAATGACTTTCAGTCTCTCTGCTGCATGCATTGTTTCCCCAGAGGATTTATACCATCTCTTTAGCTGCTGGCGCCTGTATGCACTAGAAGCCCAAAACTAAAATGAACATATATACTATGAGTAAAATACTGGTAAGAATAAACATATTTTGGATGACGAGACTTCCACATTTTCTTATTATTCTAACTTCATTCATCCCCATCTGAGGGTACAGCCACAAACAATCTCAGGTCACAAATATGACACTACTAATATTTGAAAATTTTAAACATAAATTGTATGTTTATATACTTATCCTATCTCACGTATTGTGCTCTAATTCGACGAATGAGTGGAAACGAAAAAACTTGTGAACTTATCTCGGCCTCTGGTCCAAGCACCCGCCCTCCATGTTGTCCTCCTTCCTGGACATCTCTGTCTCTCACAAGAGGCATGTGTCACGCTCCACTACCTAGTCACATGACCACTCCTTAGTGATCATTCTCGCTCTTGGATTAAATGTATATCAAGGTAGTGGGGAAGCTGGGTGGGCATACATCGCGTGAGTGAGTGAGTTTAGTTTTACGCCACACTCAGCAATATTCTAGCTACATGACGGCGGCCTATAAATAATCGAATCTGGACCAGACAATCCAGTGATCAACAGCATGAACATCGATCTGCACAATTGGGAACAAATGACATGTGTCAACCAAGTCATGATTCACCCAAGTCATGGCATGATCACCCGAAGATCGACAGGACTGGATATTATTTGTAAATTGTTATGACATGCCGTTTACTTCCCCAGTTTAATTCCCCTAAAGGATTATCTTATCTTAGCTGATATCTCTATCACCCAGCCTGCCCCAACCACCGTCTGCAACACCCTTCCTGGTTTTGCTATGAGACGACCCCTCCTACCTGTTTCTTTTTTAAAAATAGTGAGAATCCATAGTAGCTACATCCTTAAAAGTTTCAGTGCTAAAGTTTTGGGTTTTTTTTACGGCAGCTGTCGCTTTATAATTAAGCTAAGTTTAATTTCAACTTGGGCATTTAAATAGTGTCCTTTGTAATACAATCTCATCGCACACTAAGTTGCATAAAGCCATTGTCTGTTCCAAATATGTCGCTTTGAACTTAGAAACAAAACTGCATTGTTCATTTCTGCACTAATCTCTCCTCAGTAAAGTCCTTTCTCTACGTTTCCTATCTCCCTACCATTTATAATTTACTTATAAAAATGTCATTATTTATTAAACATGCACTATCTAAAAGGAATTCTATCCAATGTTAGAAGAGACATGTATATATATACCTATGTATATGTTTAAGCCATATTGTCTATATATCAAATACCACTTTGCATTTATTGTACACGGGCCAATGGCCTATATACCGAAATAAATTCTTCTACCATTGTGACTGTAGTTAGGCCGAACAGATATTTCACACTTTCACATATTAACTACATAAATTATAGATATAAATGCGAAAAAACAGTTTTTTTCTATTTCTGACAATACTTTAACATGGCAAATATCATTTTACCTAGTAATGACCTCTTTAAATATTGACTTACAACCCAGATAGGTGTGAGCAATTATTGGTTGATGTACGATATTTACACCTAATTGTGTGCCCCACATAACATCTGATCACCAGCTAATAATCACTGTATGAAATTTGAAGTGGTATCAAAGGCTTGTTGAGGGCTAATTAACTGTGGCATCTGCCATTGTTTCAAACATTTTGGGGGATTCAACACAAGACTATGTCATTCTGACCAGTAGCAATATCAATATGGAATTCTATAACTTCACAACAAAGTGGATGTTGACAGAACATATTCTCACTGGCATGAAGTTAGGAAAGGGAATCAGAAAGATTATGAACTGCTCATGGTTAGCTTGTGTTATAACATATATTAGAACTGTTGCCTTTGAATCTGCTGTAAAAATGTATTGTTATTTGGTAGTACTGATGATGGATCTGAATCAAATGATGCCAGCAATTTCACAGGTATTTGTCAAAACGAGATCATAAACACTGTAATACATCGGATAATACAAGAGCAGAAAAAGCTTCTCTACAGGCAGTTCCTTGTTTAATGCTTACCACTGGACAATATTCCAGCTGTATGACTGGACTGAACATGATCGCACCAACCTATAGTCCGTTTGGCTCAAAAGCGGAACGATGAATTGCAATCTAACCGAAAACTAATAAACATATAATACTCAATGAAAAGCTGATCATAATCAAAATATCAGACCAACTATGTGATTTGTTTGCAGAATTTATGTCCTAAAATTAAAAACGTTGTTTAACAAACTATCATTAAAATTTTGACACAGTTCACTATTTGTTACGAGGGGGGAGTGCAGAGAAAGGGACAGCCAGGTGTTCGAGAAGCACGTGCACAAGTGCCCACAAAGTTATTGATTCATTAACCTGTGCTGTGCCGTCTCCATCCTTTCTCGCACACCTGGCTGTCCCTTTCTCTGCACTCCTCCCTCATAACAAATAGTGAACTGTGTCAATATTTTAATGATAGTTTGTTAAACAAGTTTTTTTATTTTTAGGATGTAAATTCTGCAAAAACCTCACAGAGTTGGTCTGATGTTTTGATTATGATCAGTGTTTCATTGTGTATGTTATGTTTATTAGTTTTCGAGTTAGATTGCAATTCATCGGTCCAATTTTGAGACAAACGGACTATAGTTATTGACGTTTTGTGCATCAATCCAGGCAATAGGTAATCCACCAAGTTTTCTGATCCTAACCACCCAATGCATTTAGCATGTTTCATCAACACTAACATTCAACATAGGTTGCTTGAGGTTGTTATTCTTACCCAGAAACCCTATCGGTACCAAGCTGACCCTAGAAACTTACCTGAGTAGGCAAATGTGTTATTCTTTGAAGCATAGTTTCTGGCAACTAACTGCAGCCAGGTACCTGAAACAATGAATTTATTGCCTCAATAAAAAGAGCTACTAGGACTTAGGGGACAATTGGCACCAACAGGACATGATAACTGGTTTCTGTGTCGGGCATGTTTAAGCCTCACAGAGAAGGAATTGCGTGAGATGTCATAGACATTAAACATGAGCAATGAAGAACTATCGGCTCATTAAGTACCAAATCTTTTGACATGTGACAAAATATGCACTAGCATGATAATGTAGCTCTGTTTCAAGCCAGTCCAGATACCCTCTTACAATATCCATGACAAAGGCTCTCTTGAATTTCACTCAAGCTGAACAATTGATGATGTAGGCTCTATTGGTAACTGCTAACAAAAATTAAAACACATTAGACCTAGACCATCTCTCCAGACAACATCCACTTCTGGCAAGAACTATTTAATTGTAACATGACAGATAATGAATATGGAACAATTTATAAGGAAAACAACGACATTATTCTTTGTATTGACGTTTGGCAGCAAAATGCCAGATTTGACCTCAAGCTCACTCTCATAGCTTCACAGTAATGGATCAATGTGGAAACAGAGAAGGAAAATTCTGAAGAAAGATTTCATTCAATTTTGTAATCTACAAGATACTGTGTGGTGTGGAATGAGGCGTTATGGAGCGAACTGAAAACAGTTGTTAACGTCATTGTAACATTGGGAACACTGTAAGGATAATGTGGATCACACTAAGGAACAAGGGAGACATGAGCATGTGTAGTGACGGCAGCCTTCGTGTAGTTAGCCTTCTAATCATTACTGAACAAATGTAGCGTCACGAGTGAAAGTGGCTAAAAAATTAGTGCAAGTTCCATGTCAATGTCGATTTACCCAAATTTTCCACATTAAACCATTCATCGTGCACTTTTGATGTTCTTGTGTAAAGTATTTAAACTGCAAAAGGGAAAACAACAAATGGTACACATGCATACACCGGACATCTATCTACTATATTGGATTTGGTCCCTTACCCTAACCCTAAACCTAAATCGTATCCCCTCGAAATAATCCTAATAAATAGAATACCTTGACAGACGCTGGCACAAAAATGGCTGACATGTCCAGGGTAATGCATTCTTACCGCTTCAAGAAGTAGAACATAATAAATAGACAGCATTCCTATGTCATGATACAAATTAGTTCCAATTTATTATTTATTTAGTCCTAAATATTCTGCTGAAAGCGAAATATAAAATATATTTAAAATAAAAGTGCTTTCATAAACTGGCGCTTGCTATGAATCCACCGCCGTCCATGTTTAGCCCTTGGCTTACTCAAAGACAATGCGTATAGAGACGACAGAACACTGAGAGGAGCTTAGGCACACTCGATAACCCAGCGGCAGCCTGACATCAAACAGCATTGTTTTGGGTAACAATGTTTCACAAATTACATCATAAGGTATTGTGATGTAATTTGTAAAGTTTGTGGGGCTGAATTCTAAAGGTTGGACAATATTTCCTTTGCAAATAATATTCATCATCTAAAATAACTGTTTAATTTTTCTCGAAATGAAAATAGTTTGGGGTAAAAATATATCTCCACAGGGGCTAGAAAAGCAACAACAACAGTCAAATGGCATCTAGGTATACACTGTCACTGATGGGGTCTCAAAACATCGTCGTGTCACATAACTTTGATCGGCCATTTTGAAAGTTAAATTTCGCGATAACAAACGAGATTTGATGTCAGATGCAGCTTTGATCTTTTGTTGAGACCGCTATGTCACCTGAAGCACCAAATGCTTCGCATCAAGTTATCAAATGTAAGTAGCAGCTACTATTTGGCGAACAACTCTCATTTAATGTGTGTTCACTATTGCAATTTCTTCACTTGTAATAAAACATCAATAAAGTTTTAATACGTCATAGAAAACTGACAGGAATTCTGTCGTCTGCTATGTTTGGGTCCCTTGTACAGAGATCATGTGATCACATTAAGTGACATCACGCTCAAAAAAAAATCTATGGAAACTTCTAAGGGCCACTCGTTATCAAAATCGTATTTTGTTTCACTCTTTAATACTTTATCCTTTGTTTCAGTTTGTTTTGTTGTGGTGAACTACAGCTTGTCATTTTGATTTTTTCAAGGTTTTGCCGGACGGGCCGGCCCCAAAAGAGGGAAATGCAGGAAATATTCCTTTGAAGCCCTGGATAAAGTATATGATGCGATAACTTCTGGCATGTCTATAAGAAAAGCTTCTGCAAAATTTTCAATTCCTTTCGTCACATTACATGACAGAATAAGTGGGAAAGTTTCTGTTAAATGCATTACAATGGAGAGAGAAGAAAAGCAACTCGTTGACCATATTCAAGCTATATCAAATTTTTGTTATGGCTATACCAGGACTGAGGTGATCGCTACTGCCACTGATTTAGCTGTTTGTCAAGGAAAGAAGACAAAAGATGAGCCCTGTTTTTCCTTGCAGTGGTTTTACTGTTTTCTTAAACATTGGCCCGATTTATCAGTGAGACAACCTCAATCTTTAGAGATCCAGGGAATGTGTGCTACGTCGGAGGAGACGGGTTCCACATACTTTTCTGAACTTGATAACATCCTTACCAAGTACAATTTTAAGTCTAACCCACAACGTACTTACAATGTGGATGAAAAGGGACTTGTGGATAACCACACCCCTCCTTCTGTGGTCACTTCTAGCCAGGGCTCCCCAGTCTCTCTGACAACTTCACACTCTACTACTACAACAGTTATATGGTGCGGTAATGCAGCTGGTGCATCCATTCCACAGTATTTTATCTTCCAAGGTAAAAGGATGAGGGATGAACTTCTTGAAGGATCCGCTCCGGGGACAGCTGGCACTGTGAGTGACTCGGGATGGTCAAACACCGAAATATTCCAACATTTTTTACAGGAACATTTCCTCAAGTATTCTGTTGCTGCGCCTGCCGACAGTCCCCTTCTCATCATGTATGATGGCCACAAGTCTCACGTCTCCATACCTCTCATCAACTGGGCAAGACAACACCATATTGTATTGTTTGTTCTCCCGGCACATACTTCCCGCGTGTTACAGCCGATGGATGTTGGGTGTTTTGGACCCTTTTCCCGGATTTATAACACCTTTCGTCAAAGTATATGCGTGAAAATGCCACCAGCTCAGTCAATAAGCATTCGGTTGGTCAACTTGGATGTAAAGCTTACAACCTGTCGTTAACACTCTCAAATTTGCAGTTAACATTTAGAAAATGTGGCATATACCAATTTAATCCGTCCGTCGCAACTGATATGAACTTTGCGCCATCTACTGTTTTCAAGTCTGCTGAAACACATGAGGAATCTACTGCCAACGTTTCTGATGTTGTGACTGTTGAAAAACCTTTTGAACCTACTGCCGACGTTTCTGAAGTTGTGGAATTCTTTAATGACAAATCTGCTGTACTTGTCAAGAAATCTGCCCCTACGAAGAAAAGAAAAGTTCTGAGCGCTGTCATCAGGGGAAAAGCCATCATTGAAGATAACATTTTCAGTAATATTTGTTCTCATCAGGCAGAATGTCCGGCACCACAAAAAAGAAAAGAAGCATCTATTAAAATTAAATTTTCTAAACAAACTGCTGTACGTAAACATGTTTCTCCGATGCCAAGCACATCTGGAATTACCCGACCAGTTCACAACAATGATAACGACAGCTTTGATTCGTATGACACTGATGATGTGATATCTGATGAAGAACTGTGCTGCAAATGCAAGAAGTATCTTCCTCATGAGGTTCTTGGGCACAATGCACTCATTCAACATGTCACATCTACGTTTTTGTAGCCCAGTCCGTGTTCAGAGACCATATACCGTAATATGTTTCACCTGACTACGGAAGTCCACTGCTGAGGGCATCTGCGCATGTGCTACGCATCTGAACCACAGCCAGGGAAAACACTGCAGGGGTTCATGGGGTATCGTTTGCACTCATTATCGCGACAGTGATGGTTAATGTTAAAGTACTGCTGAGGCCTGTCCCTCGGTATATGGTCTCTGGTGTTGTACGCCAACATTCCGATTTTTGGTGTCCTTGTCACAACGCATGGAAGCCCAATGAACCAGAAGAATAACTCTAGTCATGCCATCAACGGAGCACCTTTAGAATACAGCACCACAACTTCTCGTGAGGACGATCTCTGCCGTAGGTCACGTGTCATTAAGACAAGCAACCAGTTTGTGAGAACCGATGCCATTTGGCACACTCGTCCCATTCCGTAATCTACAAATTAACGTGTGGCGTGGAATGAGCCGATATGCCTCAAACGGAAAAGGGTTGTTGGCATCAGGCGTCAGACGTAGATTTCAGGTGTATGCATGAATGAGGCGCTTTTATATAAATCTGTGATTTTGTGACAGAAAAGTGATGTAGGGAACACTGTAAGGATAATGTGGATCGCACTAAGGAACGAGGGAGACATGAGCATGTGTAGTGACGGCACGAGGGTGAGTTAGCCTTCGAATCATTACTTTACAAAATTTATGTTGCGTGTGAAAGAGGCTTCAGTGCAAATTCCAGGCCAATTTCCATTAGCCCAAAATTTCTACATTAACCCATTTCATAATGTACTTTCGATGTTTTTGGTTTCCCGTATTTGTGTGAAAAAAAAGTATTAAAATGCAAAAAGGAAAAACAACAAATGGTACTCACGTATTACACCGGACATGTACCTACTATATTGGATTAGGTCCCTAACCCTAAACCCTCAGCCCTAACCCTAACCCCTTGAAATAATCCTAATAAATAGAATGCATTGACAGAACCACCGGACATGTACCTACTATATTGCATTAGGTCCCCAACCCCAACCCTAACCCTAAACCCTAGCCCTAGCCCTAATCCTAACCCTAGCCCTAATCCTTTGAATTAATCCTAATAAATAGAATGCATTGACGGAACCGGCACAAACACGACTGACGTGTCTAGTGTAATGCATTATTACCGCTTTGAAATAAAAAATACTAATAAAACACTTTTCTATGTAATGGT